GAGCTCATCGTCCATCGTCATTTGTATAGGTCCCTAAATGTCTCTTCCTCTCCTTTTTGATTTTGAGGCCACGTAAGGATAAAACATTCCAACCCTCAAAGACCAAAATTATTGGGACATTTGGTAAAAAAATTTTGTTTAAAAATTTAATTAGCTAAGACTTAAATTTATATGCACGCAAGTATAATTCGTAAGTATAACATATTTTTCGCTGTATGTAAATGAATTCTATATTAATGATTGTTACATATTATTGATGATATGTTGCACACAGTTAAAGATATATTACACACACTCAAATTTATATTCTATTAATCAATTAAATTTTTTAATAAGAATTTTTAACCAAAAATTTCAAAATTATTTGCAGGTTCTGATGGATTTGATATTGATGTGAAATAGACAGAAATATCCCTTGTCACTTGAAGTATCATGCGTAAACAACTATAAAATTTGCACTTCTGGTGAGGTGAGGCTCAAAATTTGGATAATTAAATATCAGTTTCATCAAATGAATAATAATAAGGGGAAAATTTTCAATGAATAATGTAATGAGTATACCGATTTATTTAACCAGAGCAATGAATAACATTGGGAAAATTATCAATAGGTCATAACTTAGAAAATTATATACATATGTGTTTTCCGAATTTCATTTAACACTAATATGTCATTCAAAATTTAACATTGCAGGTTAGATTTGTAAATAATGAAACTCGACTTATAAAAAAATTAAATTGATAAATTTGACTGGCAAATTAGACAATTTTTGATTGGGTAGTTTAAAAAACGAAACTCTTTTTTTATTTAATTTAACAATTTTGGTATTCCACATCTAAAATTGTTGTATCAATTTAATTAAAACCGCAGCTTTTTATAGAATCATGTTTTGTGATTACTAATTCAATTAGATCCCCACATAAAATTAGAGTTAGTTTTAAATTTAAATTTATTATTTAGTTTTGCAAACAGCCGTTATCCCCCTTATTTATGAAACGAATTTCTAGCTGTTTGACTTTCTCACACCTCTCTCTTCTTTCTTTCCTCCTTTCCTTCTTTGTTAATTTCCTCACTTCTCTGCTGCTCATAATCATTCCTTTTGATAAAGTTGCTTTGTATTCATAAAGTAATCTTAAGATTATTTAATTGTTTGCCATAAATACTTACATAAATTAATTACATACATTCAAATTAATCATGTATGCAGCTCACGTCCTAATTTTTTCCCTATGAACTCCTGGCTCTCAATGTCACTTTGAAGTTTGAATGTCACGTCAAAGGAAAAAAGAAAAACTCCCACTAGATGCTCTATAATTTATATGTGTGTGTTGTAAAATTAAAAAAAAAAACCAGGGATTGAGATGAGAGAGATGGAGAAGATATATAAGGGAGAATTGGAGAAGGAACACAGAGTAATCTCTTTTTTTTTTTGCTAAAGCATAAGTATCCTCTTATTGGAGGTAATCCTATTCCAGGCACTGTCGGGCACTAAATGTGGATACCTCTTCCAACGAAGATTCGAATCCTAGTTTGTTACATTGTGAAGGACTAACCACTTCTGCTAAATTCAACCCTCAGTGGTCAAAGTAATCTCTTATTCATTTCAAGTTTACAATCACTTAGTACATACCTACTATTTATAGGCTACAAAAGCTTAAATTCTTTTCAAGAGTTTATAACAATGAATAACTCTACATAATTGGAGGCTATGAGTATTAATCATAGAAAACTCCCAAGCTGGCATTTGGAGGCTATGAGTATTAATTATAAATACTTTCCGTTAGTTGGTCACAAAAAGTATTGATTAAAGAGGCTGTAAAAGTAAGAGATAATATAGGCCCATTGGAAAATGAAGACTTGATTTAGCCCATGATAATATTGGGCCATAAGCCCATTTTGTAAGCACCTCAGACACGGCGCAATTCGGTCAATGAATGTAAGCCGTGACGCGTCCGGTCCGGTCCGGTGGAATCCAAGACGAGAAAGACGACCATGGATCCTCAAGCTTTCTCCATGGTCCTGTTTTCTTCCAGTCGATCCTTTTCTCTCTCTTCGTCCATTCCTTCCTAAACTCGCACCTTACCCTAACCCTAAAAATATTCTTTGGAGATTTTACTCGCAGGAGGTTTTTGAAGAGGGGAGCAGAGAGAGAGAGAGAGAGAGAGAGAGTGAGAGTGTGCGCGCGCGCGCCTGAGAGATGGAGACTCAGTACACTCTCTTCGACAGGCATCCCATCATCAAGTCTAAGACTCCCGCCGTTAAATGGGTTAAAGAATGGTACTATAGGTTTATTTGACAAATTGTTTTGTACGTTTTGTGCTGTTGAATTTTTTTTTTTTGGCCAATTAACATATCATGTTGTTTAGGGGTTCGAAGTCTGAATCTTGTGGAAAAATCTCATCATATTTTCCCCATATTTTTTTTTTTCCATGTGCATATTTAGTTTCCATGTTTAACTCGACTTGAAAAGAGATGAAATAAAATGATGTTCATGGAGCTCAACTGAAATTTCTCAGTAGTTATTAGGTCACGAGAAACTGGGATGGGAATTGGATATTGAACTAGGAACTGGACATTTTTTCTTGTTCCAGATTGATTTTTTTTTCTTTTGCTTTTGACACCAGAAATTCTGGTGAATATATAGTTTATACCTGCCATTGTCGGTCAGTTTAGGCCACTATGCTATGCAGCTTCATAAGTTATCTTTGAGAAACAGATTGGATTTACTGTATCTCTGCAGACGGCATAAGTGATACACTCTTGGAGACATCTAAGGAAAAAAAAGGAATTTTATCTTGGAGTTCCGACAATTGGTCATATATTTCACCAAGGAGACAAATTGTCATTTTTTGGGCCAAACTTTAGATCACTTGATGAAAACTAAATCTCTCTATTAAGAAGAGAAAAAAAAAACTAAATCCCTCATGTAACATTTTATTTTTAGTGGTGGTCGCAGGAAGAAGGAAAATTATGCAATATGTTAAAACATAGATAATGTAAATTATTGTATAACGTTCCATCTAGTGACCTCGTTTTTCTATCTTCAAAGTTCACAATATTTTAACACAAGGTTTTCAGACATCTGGGAGGCAGAGGAGTCACAGGGAAAAAAATAGAGAATTTACGATTTTTTTATTTTTCCTTTTGCAATTTTTTACCCTATCTTTGTATGGTCTATATTATTCTTGTTGTCATGGTGCTTCAGCTTTTTTTCAATTTTCCTTAAGTTCTTTATTGCTCATTTGAGTTTGTCTAGCGTGCTAATGCTGAGAAAAAAATATACTTGCCTGCCAGGGTTCCCCAGGATGTTGTGGCCACTGGTGGGAAGTGCATGCTTTTCAGATGGGTAAGAGGTTTGTGCTCGTGCTACTTGGAAGACTTAGATGACTTCTTTGCTTACTCTTGATCCTATTTTGCTTATAGCTGATATATTAAATCTAAGCATGTCTTGCATCTGAAAAATCTCTATGTATTCCTTGATGACATGCTACGAATTTGTCTCATGTGACTGTTTCTTGATCCCATTTTGCTCATATTTGATATAGTAAGTCTAACCATGTTTTGCATCTAAAAAATCTCTATGTATTCCTTGATTACGTGCTATGAGTTTCTCACATGTGATTGTTGTCTTACTAAGGGTTCTGAGAGTGTCTCTTTGTTTTATTTTTCTTAGAGGATTCCTTAAAGGCCTTGAAGGATAAGGAAAAAGAACCATCAGTTCCTGAGCCAGAACCTGAGCCAACAACCGAAGTACTTTTTCTCTGCAGCTACGAAGGCTGTGGGAAAACTTTTATAGATGCTGGTGCTTTGAGAAAACATTCTCACATCCATGGAGAAAGACAATTTGTCTGTCACTATGAGGGTTGTGGAAAGGTGGTTTGCTTTTAATTATTATCCTTTTAAAATTGTGAACTCGCATGGGCACATATTGTAAGCCTGCATTTTTTTACCCTAATTCTTGGTCCGCATTTAAGCCAGCTGCAAAGCTGATTTTGTGTTCAATTAATATCTGGTGCATAGAGTATGTGTACCAAAGAATGATAAACCAATGTTAGGAAATATCAATCGGTTTTGTTTATCTTGTAATTTAATAAGAAAAAGACCCGTTGTATTGTACAGATTTTTGAAAAACAGTGAAATACTTTTTGGAAAACAATTACTTCCTTTTATAAAGGAAAAGAAGTTTTATTCATCTTTAGTTATGTCAAGTTATAAGCTTTATAGCATGTTACTGGTTTCATTTTTGTTATATTTTGGTTGATTTTATTCATATTTCAGACTGTCAGATCTACAATTAGCATTGTTACAAAAAATTCATTTTCTGTTGCAGAAATTTCTGGATAGTTCAAAGCTGAAAAGACATTTTCTCATCCATACTGGGGAAAGGGCTTATGTATGTCCCATTGAAGGCTGTGGTAAGGTAATAAATCTATCCATTGAAATTGTCTATTCTTATTTCTTCTAAGGACAGACTTTCCTGAGTTGGAATCAATTGTTCTGCTTCTTCATCTCTAGTGCCTGCTTATATGGATCTGTGACCTGATTCTAATTTGGTGCTTGCGAAATGTGAGATAGCTGCTCTATTTAATGACTTTGACATGAAGTTGATTTATGGTTCACAATATTTTGGCAGCGTGTATTTGTTTATTTATTTTTCAAATACATCTAAAAGTGTTGCAGTTCAAATCTTGTGACTAGATAAAGTATCCTTTTGTGAAAGTTCCCTGATTTATATTCTCTGTATTAGCCTTTCATGAGCTCCGATATTGTATATTGCTTCATATAAGGCCTTTATGCGAATGTTTTTGTGCCCATAACATCTTGTCACAACATGTATTTGCAGGCCTTCTCCCTCGATTTCAACCTAAAGTCTCACATGAAAACACATTCACATGAGAACTACCATGTCTGCAAATACCCAGATTGTGGGAAGAGATATGCTCATGAATACAAGCTTAAAAATCACATTGCAGCACACCATGAAAAGGTTGGGCTATCTCTTACTATTATTCCTCGACCATTGAATCCATACACAATAGCTTATGCTAATAATTGCATGTCTGGCTTTCTTCTTTTCTTTTTTCTTTTCAATTTTATTTGGCTAGTCATTAACATGACCCAATTATGCTCGATTTGTGTGTATCGTAGAATTGATACCTTTACAAGTGGATGGCATGATACTGTTATCAATGGTTACTTGCACAATTTATCTGCTTGGGTCTGGGTGAAAGGATTAATAAATGAGCCCAAGTCAACTGGATGGTATAAAGACAATTTTTTAAATATAAATCTCCTTGGATTATATAATGCTTGTTTGACATGACGTTAGGATCTTTCAAAAGTAGTTTTTTAACTGTGCTTTACGGAATATGAAGTCAGTATGTGAGAAAGGGCTTGTCTTAGTTTACGTAAATAAATGCTTTTGTGTGGGAATGTGATCCCAACCAAGTACATAGTTGATATTTAAGGCCTTTTTGTACTGTTAGTTTCAATTTTTTTTGCAAGATAGATTTTGGCAGGGTCATAATGTGGACACAAAAAATATCCAACTCTAATTTACTTTTGGAAATTGTATGGATGTGGGGATTAAATGAGAATGGGGCTGAGTTCTAAATTTGTTGCCCACATGGGCCTGAGTATGATGATGCATCCAGTTCTTCTGTTTGGGGCTAGGCAGGATCTAGAGTGCCCTGGTGCCTTGTTTAGTAGGGAGCCAAACTGATCTGCTATATTCAAAATCACTTTTTATTTTATTTTTAGTTTTAATTCTGTTTCTATATCTTCACATTCCATGTGTCAAGCTGGTTTAGTCCCTATACGATACTCATGATCGTTCCTCCTGCAAGATGTGGATGTTAAAAACTATGACTGCTCCAGTTTTGGATGAAGTTAAGCATGTAGAAACGTTGAATTATACAAGAGATTTCGGAACAATAAAATTTTCATTTTTGTTCTTACAGAATGGATCTGTAGATCCCAATGGGACAAAGTATAATACTCCACCTGCCGAGAAGCCGACAAAAGCTGCGAAACCTTCTGGGGGTGCTTATGCTTCTGCATCGTCTGATCGTCCGTTTGTTTGTCCTTATGAAGGGTGTGAAAAGGCCTATATCCATGAATATAAACTTAAACTCCATTTGAAGAGGGAGCATCCTGGGCATGGTGATGAAAATGTTGCAGAGAATGCTCAGGCTAATAACAATGCTGACAACGAATTAGATGAAGCAAGCGATCAAGATGCCTATGGTGGCAAAAGGTCAAATGGTAGGATTCAGAAGCAAAGTAAGGCCAAACCAAACTTGAAGTTGCCTCCAACAAAAATTGCCCGGCGCAAAGCAACGTCAACACCCTCTTCTGTAACCCCTATGAAGGTGATTAAGAAACCTTGGCCGGTGAAAGAAGAAAACTACGAGGAAGAAGACAGTGAAGAAACAGAGGAAGATCGAGACAACGTTGAAGATGGTTGGAGATATGCAGGAAACAACGAGGATGATGATGAAGAAACAGAATACGAAGACTGAACTTAGGTGGTCTTTTGTGAAACATTTTTTTTCATTGTCATTTTTACCTTTCTAAGTTTCACTATTTGCTCCTGGCGTGGGTAATCTATTGTATGCCCTGTATATTTTTGGAGCAGTAATATAATATGGTTTTCCTGTTGATCCCAGTATCTTTGTGTAGCTTAATTCTATAACTGTTTTTTTTTTTTTTTGAGGGCGCTCTTCCGCTTTACTCTAATTAATGTGTTCCGTGTTTGATGTAGACCAACAGCACTCAATCCAAAGCCACCTGTTACTTTCTCTAGTTGTATATATGAGTTTCAAATAACTGAATCATATTTAACAACTAACAGTTAGAATTAGTTAAAATTAGTAAATAAGTCAGAAATGTATTTTTTTTCTTTCAAATTTATTTATTAAGAGAGTAAATGAGAGGGGCAATAAATAAAAATAATGATAAAAGAGAATATATGAGGGTAATATTAATTAGAGAGAGAGAATCCTAAATACAATCAACTAAAGGAAAAATAGGTAAAAAAGTAATAAATGCTTAGACAAGCTAAAAAATGAAGTTTTTATTTTGGACCGGACTTTTCTCCAAAAACGAAGCTTATATATAGAATTAGAATAATGATGGACATTCTTAATTTTTGGACATTATAACACGTATATTTTTTTGAGATCAATACCAGTACTCAACCCATAAGTTAAATAAGTGGTACTTGAGTCTAACAGAAATGGTTAATTTCCTACATAAGAATTAATAGAGGTGTTTTGAACATAATTGTCTATAAAAAAAATATTACCTGTGCCCAGTGAAAAAAAATAAAATTAATGGTTTAACAAATCTCTTATAGAAGGTCACACATTCTTGTAAGGCGATGATGCTATTCTAAAATAGCAACTTACAAAATATGAGGGTTGCTGACTTCATCTTTTGGCATGGGGTAGCTTGCCTTGTGCTTATCTTCCAGCTAGTTTACACAAGGAGAACTTGTATTGCGATCTTTACTTGTTTTTCTTCTAATTATTTTTTTATTGGCTATATGATAAGGGTTTAAACCTTGCTTTAATCACCTGAGCTAGTTTGTTAAGATTAAAAAAAGTGATTGTGACAAGTTAAACGATAAACAACTATAAGTTAGATTAGTTAAGAAAATCTGTTTTCAACTCATTCTAACAACTTAGTACATTTTAAGAAAGTGATTATTTTCAAAACCTAATCTAATTATCTCATGAAAATAAGCTTTTGCAGGTATGGTTTTATTATGTTTACCTTGTCAAAATTGTTTTTTACCCCTTTAATCTTGAACAATTTGGTCTAGGATTAAGTTTTATTGAGCACCTGAAGTGTTTTCATATAACATTTTAAAACATTTTATGTTGCAATTCTAATTTTAAAAGTATTTTTTTGGGAGTAATTTTGCCCTTGAAGTACTTTTTTAAGAGCATTTTTAATTTCGGCGTTAACTTCCAAAAAAAAAATCCTTTAAGTGAATATGCATCCAACACCAAAAAATATTTTTTTGGTAGCACTTAACCTGCCAAAGTAATTTTTTGGTGTAATTTTTTTGTTAAAATATTTTCTGAGTTAAGTTTTTTTATCACTTGTTTTTCACATATTTTCAGTATTCATCTTCTATATTTTTGGTAACCTCCACTAACATTTTTTAATAATAAGTTTTTAAAATTTTTCACTAGTAGGCTTAAATATTTTTTTTACAATTATCTTTCATATTTTTAATTATTTAAAGTTGAGTAAAAACTAAAAACTTTTAATTTAAGGGTTGAATGTCAAACCTTCTCATTGTTCTATGTTGTTTTTTGTAATTAAATTCTTTGAAAATCAAATCTCATGAGTTGAATACAGATAGGAGTATGACTCCTTTATCTATGTACTTCAACAACCTTTCCATAAATTAAACTTTTTTAGGTCAACTTAAAAAAATATTAATTATGCATTTAAAAATCTTTTCTTACAGCTATCTGCTGATTAAGTAGTCAACTTTAAAAAAAAAATCAACTATGTTTTTAAAATTCTATGTCTCCCACAACTTTTTTCTTCTTTTTTTACTTTGCTTCCACAAGTTTTTTTTTTTTTAAAATATCAACTCATTAAGTGAACCTCTCTGGTAAAAAATGAATCTCAATAGTCAGTATTTTCATTCAGTGACTGAGCATTGAACCTTTGATCATGTTCTTTGTATAGTTCTTTTTTTTCCCCGTTTTGTTCTGTTATTGCTCCACCAAACGCTCCCTAATGATCCATGAACCTAATACTTTTAGGGAGTGTTTAGTAACCTCCAAACCATGGTTTTAGAAGCACTTTTCCATAAAACGAGGCAAATTCCTCCACATATTTATTTCGTAAACTGTAAAAGCACTTCTGAAACCATGGTTTGGTTTCTATCCAAACACCCCCTTAATCGTTTTATCTAATAGTTGTATAAACTGAAAATGAATCCTATATAAACTATGGTGATGAAGTCTTCACTTTATAAAATGTATGAGAATTTGATAAAATATGAGATATACGTCTTATTACTGCACTCTTTTTTCTTTTTCATCTCTCTCTAAATGTACCGACCATCTTTACAGGTCAACAGATTCGTCATATTGCATTTTGTCGTTTCGTAATTGAATTCTTTTAAAGTCATATCTCTCACATTAAATTTAGATTCTTTGAAGTGAAAAATTATGGATGTATCATGACTTATTGTTTACATGCATGCATCTTCAATTACTTTTTATTCAAGGGGGAAAAAATAGAGAAGTTTAGGTATAGAGGGGAAGAAGGTAAGAACAATACATACAAAATTAATGTATAGAATTTTCTTGAACTATTGACTCACTTTATATATTCTTTTAAATATTCAAATTTAAAAATCAATTGCTACAAATTTTTAAATTTACACAAACTCCCTAGATAGGAAAATTCGTTAATTTACCAGTAAGATATGAACAGAGACATTATGAGCTGCTTAGAAGGAAGGACTTATCAGTAAGATATGAACAGAGGATGAAGGGCTAAGGTTTTGATTGCTATGGACTCTCGTGCTTGTTATGGGGATCCTTTTATAGAATTTTTTTTTTACCAGAGATAGTTTTATAGAATTGTCGTACTCGTTTGTGTGCAGACTGTATTCAGATACGTAACGCAAGGTTAAAAAATGAGTTAAACGTGGAAAATAACACTTTGTGGAATGAAACATCCACTTCAATTATATATTTATTTTTCCTAGAATAGAACAAGAACATAAAGTAATCATGGAACCGAAAATGATGGGCTAAAGGTTGCATTCTGAATGGTAAGAAACAAATGCGAAGCGAGATTGGTTCATTTTGTGATAATATATTATATAATACTACTTTCGGTCTTTAATATAACATTTAGTTGACTAATTTGAGTAGATTAAGAAAATTAGTTAAGTCAGTTATTTGTAATAAATAGTTGTTATCTTTTTTCAAATATCCTTGTTAATTAACTGTATTAGTTAAAACTACCATTATTACAGAGACTATCTTAAAAAAATAAATAAATATGAAAGATAAAATTAATTGGGGTCTTATATTTATGATCAACATAAAAATCAAGCATTCTCTTATATTAAGAATCAGAGGTATTATGATAATTCTTAGTATACTAAATATAATAGCCATTAAAGGCAGATGTTTTGTTTTTGTTTTAAATATAAAATTTTAATCTAATTTATCTTTTAAATTTATAATTTCTTTTTCAAATTTTATTGATTATTCATGTTAAGGGCGTTTTTTTTAAATTAAGAGGATAATCTCCAATACAAATTAGGCATTATGCGAAGCAAAAATACTGCCCGTCTTTGATAATTAGGCATCTTTTTATGTCAAACGAAGCGTTATTGTTCAATTAATAATTTTAAATATCTATATCTATATAATATATAATTTGTATAAAACTACCTTACTCATCTCAAATACTCAACCTACTTCACGTTTTGCATGAATTTTTTTTTAGTATGTTATCGCTAACTCAATTACCTATCCAGACTAATCATCTCACCAGGATCGAGCCATGACCCTAGGAGCAGCCTTCACGTTTGCGACCAGTGACCCTTGCAAGCATGAATTGTTTTTTAGTATCATCATCACCACTACCACCGCCATGATGAAGATGTTGTATATTTTGATCCTGAAACTTTAAATTTGGAGTTTCCTTACGGTGCACGTTTTATAACGGATCATAATAGTCAACAAAATGAAGGCACTACAATAAAAGAGCTTCCATAAATCGGGCTGCCTTAATCCCAAGAAAACCCTAACGCAACTAACTCATGTCAAGTTTGGATCAAACTATTGAATTGAAAATTAAATCGCTCAAGACAATCGTTTAAGAGTTAATAGTTACTTCGAGATCAACTTACAATTCGGTCATTTAAGATAATACTACCTTCGGTCCTTAATATAAGACTTTGTTTGATTTTTATTTTGGTCCTAAATATAAAACCCCAATCCATTTTGTCTCTTATATTTATGTATTTTCTCAAGGTAGTCCTTCTAATAATGATAGTTCTAACCAATACACTTGATTAGCAATGATATTTTAAAAAAAACAACACTTATTTATTACAAATAATTAACTTAATTTTTTCTCTTAATCTCCTCAAATTAGTAAACCAACTTTTATAATTAGGACCGGAGGTAGTATAGTTTAATTAAAATATACAAAAACATTACTTCTCTGGTCTTATTTATAAGGTACTTCTAATATATTTCACACAGACCAAGAAAAACTTTAAAATGCATTAACTCTCCATTAAAATATAACAATTTTCTAATTTTATCTATATTTAATATATACACATTTCAAAAGAGATAACTACCTACATTACTGATAACTTACGGCAACTTTTTTCTTCTTTTTTTTCTTTGCTTCCACAAGTTTTTTTTTTCTTTATATCAACTCATCAAGTGAACTTCTCTGGTAAAAAATGAATCTCAATAGTCAATATTTTCACTCGGTGACTGAGCATTGAACCTTTGACCATGTTCTTTGTATAGTTCTTTTTCCCCCCATTTTGTTCAGTTATTGCTCCACCAAATACTCCCTAATGATCCACGAACCTAATACTTTTAATCGTTTTATCTAGTAGTTGTATAAAGTGAAAATGAATCCTATATAAACTATGGTGATGAAGTCTTCACTTTATAAAATGTATGAGAATTTGAATAAGATACGAGGTATATGTCTTATAATTACACTCTTTTCTTTCTCCATCTCCTCTCTAAATGTATCGACCATCTTTACAACGTCAACGGATTTGTCATATTGCATTTTGTCGTTTCATGATTGAATTCTTTTAAAGTCATATCTCTCACATTAAATTTAGATTCTTTGAAGTGAAAAATTATGGATGTATCATGACTTCTTGTTTGTGCATGCATCTTCAATTATTTTTATTTAAGGGAAAAAAAAAGTAGAAAAGTTTAGGTATAGAGGGGAAGAAGGTAAGAACAATACATAACAAAGTTAATGTATGAATTTTCTTGAACTATTGACTCACTTTATATATTCTTTTAAATATTCAAATTTAAAAATCAATTCCTACAGATTTTTAAATTTACACAAGCCCTCTAGATAGGAAAATTCGTTAATTTACCAGTAAAAAATTAGTTTGTTTACAATGAAGCCATAATAATATATATATAATATATATGTGTGAAATAAATTACACTGTTCAGATATATAAATAGTGCCGTCATTATAGTCTTCATACTTCATATTGATATGGATATTCAACATGACGAGCCAAAGTTAACGAGAAAAGAAAAATATTGATTGAATATATGTGTGCAAATCAAACACCAAGTATGGAAATCTATGTTGTATTCCTAGCAAAATTAAGATATTTAAGTTTTCTTTCATGTTTTTTTATTAAACTTATTTTGTGGCCATTTGTATTAAACGTAGTTAAGCTTTCTTTCATAAAGTTTTCAGTTATCGAATACTCATCATCAAATAGTGAGCCATGGGAATGGTAAAGTAAGAGAATTGAGAAAAAAACTTAAAAACAACCAAAATTTCGAAGAGAAAAAACACATAAGAGATGAAGGAAAAACTTCGAAAAATCAAAGAACACTAAAAAAAATCACTTAAACAAACCAAATAATCATTTCAGCCACAAGGAGATTTTATTCAGATTAAACACTTAAAAAGACAGTAAAAAAATTTAAGAGTCATTTTTTTTTTTATTTAAGTAGTATTAGTGAAGGACAGAAGTTTTTTCCTCTCTCAATATCATTCAGAAGTATTAAAAAAAAAAAATGTTTTTTTTTCCTTAAAAGACTAACGCTTACAATTTTAACAGAAAAGATGAAATTGCTCATTTTTAACACTTCTGGATATTGAATTAAAATTTTTTTTTTGAATATCCACAACTTCTTTATCAACGCTTTAAAAATAAAAACTCTTAACCAAGAGAAAAACCTAAAATTTTCCCCCTTGGTGAAACATCACTTGAGATTTTTCATATATTTGTTTTCATCACTCATCAGTTTGGTGTTCATCCGCTTTTGGTCGGTTGTTACTGACCCAAACAACAAACATCCTACGACTGACCCCTATCTCCATGCAAAAACTGAGGATCTCTTCCTTGTTTGATCTCTTAAGCCTCCAACCCAACCTCTCTGCAAAACTCGCCATTCGACTCCGTTGCTCATCTGTGAACTGGGTCCTCCTCTTCCTCTTCCTCGTCGGTGACGGCGGCACCAACGCCACAGCGTTGTCATCGTTATTGATCTCCCCGGCCGCATTTCCCTCATCAGCAGCAGCCACTGCAGTTGCCGGAAAGTTTGGCTGTTGGTGGTTTTGCTGCGGCAGGATAGTTACCGCGGTGTCAATTGTCATGATCGGAGTATAGACAAATTGTTTC